CCCCCCCCCCCCCGAAATCTCATCCTTACCAAGAACTTGGGAAAGGTATTGTGGATATGCATTTTCTATTTCTTCTCTTTCAAGCTCAGGTTGTTAGGATGTTTTAAAACCTCACCTATCCAAGTCTGCATATTCCTTTTTTTTTTTTGCCAGTTCTTGCTTAGTTTGCTTTTTCTGTGTGAATTGTAGTTAAGCCTACTGGCAGTTCTGTAAATGCCATCATTTGGATCTGATTCTGAGATATGCTTCTTCCATTGGCTAAGCATATTAATTTGAAACTTAGCTATGAGCATTAGCCATAGCTGCTAAAGTGGAGAAACCTCCAGAAGATTGCTGTTCACTGTCAAAGAAGGGGGAAATGCAAGGATGAAGAACTTTTATTTCCAAATTGTTGAGGGTGATTGTGGCACAGATAAATTTTAATACTGTACTTTTTGTGCTTTAAGTAACTGTTTCAGATTTTTTTCTTTGGGAGAAAAGTAACCTAACATTTGTAAAAACCTACTTGTTTACAGGGAGGTTCCCATTCAAGATTGTGGAACTATGAAGTCAGTCATTGATGTTCCTTTGACAGTAGGTAAGAACAGCATTTTGAAATGTAGTACTTAGAGAGAAAATAAAAGCTTGGAAGAAAATTAATAGGTATGTGCACTGAGCAAGGTACATGCAGTTGAAAATCTGATTACCGTACCAATTAGCTCAGAATTATTCCAGTGCCATATCTGAAATTTTGTGCTTCTTTTGGCTATAACTGAAAGTCCACCAATGACTTTATCATTTTGAAAAAAACTCAGTGAAATTTTAGGCATTGTAAATCTTTCCAGGGTTGAAACCTGCCAGTTTTTCTCTGGGGAGGGGGAACATTCTACAGATTGGATTGCCCCTCCTCACTGCTACAGCCAGAAGCAGCTGACAGATTGGATGTCTCCATGGCTCCCTCTACAGAGAGGTCAGCCCTTCATTAATCAGTTCTTGTCTCTGCTTCTCACAGGCTTCCCATTGGAGCCCCTTCTTGCTGTTGTAGCCTTTGCTCTACCTTTAAGAAAAACCAGTCTTCTGGCTAGTTGATAGTTCTGCTGCTCACCTCTGCATCCATATATGCTAAGAACGTAGACAATATACTAAAGAACCAAGAGGATGGATGGGCAGAATCAGCCTTAAGGAAAATTCACAAGGCCTGTTGCTATTACAATAGCCTCTGCTCCTTTGCCATGAATGGGGCTTCTTGCCTCTGAGTTAATGCAGCTCTTTCCCCGTTCTGTGACTAAAATCAGAATAATTTATTAATCTGCGCTCACAACTGATCTGAATTTGATGCCAGACTGCGGCAGTTGCAGTTTGTTTTTACTTTTTTGTGCCTTTACACAAGAAGATGTGTAATGAGTGATGTAAAGTGTTATTTTTTGCAAGTGAATAATTAGCAATGGCAACAAATTAGTTTTAGTAAAGTAAAAGTAACATGCACTTTTAAGGTAATATTTCTAAGATGTAGTCTTTACATATTTGCCAGTGGTTTAAAAAAACAATCTCCCCTTTTTAAAATAAAATTATCCCTTAGTAAGAAACGTAAGAAATTATGGAGGAATCAGTGCAAAGTTATATTGTCATCATCAAAGTTGGTTCTGAGTTTAAAAAGAAACTATAATGAATGTACTTCCTCTACTATGTAGTTGTATGGCAGTGAATGAAATACAGGTTGCAGGTTGAATCCAAGTTGCTCACTGGAATAGACTGGAAAGGGGGTTTGCTAAAGGATTGGAAAGTTAGCACTTCAGTAGGAGAGACGTGAAGAATCCCAAACAATGCGAACCTGGTTAAATTTGTATGTGGGCAAAAAGAATTTCAAGTCTGAATAAACTTTAGCAGCTTATATCACAACAGGAGTTGACCTACCTCTTGCCATTCTTAGAGTATGTGTTGTCTTTTCAGACATGGCAGATCCTCACACTTTTATCAAGCTTATTGACAACTTTCTTGGAGATACCTAATGCCATATCACTTCAAGCCTTTATAAGATAGTAAAAATTAAATTACATTATTTACTGGGAAAGTCTGAATATTGTCCATATCATGAGTTTGATGCTCTACCCACTTCCATGACATTGTACATGTAGTGTTAGATGCTGTTTGTATGAGATGCCAGTTTTCATTACCCTTGGTCGCTACAATTAATTGTCTTATATGATATGTTTACAGTCCGGTAACATTTGCAGGACTACATTTCTCACCTCTGTTTTAAAATCAGGCTTATCCAAGTAGTATATAAAGCAGCAGGCTTAGTCCAGTTATTTTTTTTTAAAAAAGCAGCATGTTCGCTGGGAGAGCTGAACCCATGCCTTACTTTTTTTCTATGTGCCCTTAATTATATCATCCTAATACCCTCATTATGCTAATTCACAGTTTATTTCACTGTCCAAAGGCAGAGAAAAAGAGGCAGATATTTTTCCAGTGATCACAATAACATTATTGCTGGAGCAAACTAGTGTTCCCCAGAATGTTCCTGCCCTTGTCTTTCTGGGCCCTTGTTAGGATCCTCTGTTTTTAGGGCAGATAGGATTGCTCTGTTTAAGTTCATTCCCAGCATGTGAAAATGTTAGAAATGAATGAAGCCAGAGCTTGCAACTTAAATTTCCCTTTCTCTTTCAATTTCCATATTGCTAAGTGGCTTAAAAAGACGGCCACTTCGCGATATTAGGAAATTAAACACTTCCTTTACTCCATGGAGCTACAGTTTTATTTTTATTAAAATAAAACTGTATTAGGGCAGTGCTGATAAACTGTGCTACTTAGGAAAAAAAATAAAAGAAGTTGGAATCTTCCTCACAGAAGCAGGAAAGTTTTTTTTTCCTCTTTTTGTTTGATTTTTCTGAAGGGTCAGGTCAGGTACTATCTGAATCCACTGCCAATTACTGGCCGTTTTATGGATCAGAGGGAGGAAGGAAAAAAATTTAATCCATTAAGGCAGTGCTGATGTGTTGCATTACTTCGGGTTTTGTTTTTAAATAAAGCCTTCCTCCTGGAAGTAGGAAGAGACAAAGACAGAGATTTTTCCCCAGTTTTCTTGCTTCCTTAAAAGAGCAGTGTTAATCTGTTACAGCAGAATGACAGAACCTTGTATTATCTTTAAGACAAATAGATTTATTATGGAATAAGCTTTCAGGTAGATATTGCACTTTCTCAGGTATGTGGACTGTATAACCTCAAAAACCTGTGCTATAATAAATCCATTACTCTTAGAAGTGCCACACAACTTTGTTGTTTTAAAGAAGGTATCACTGTAAATACTGATCAAATGATGTTTCCAATTCAGTTAAATATTCTGTTCTGTTACCCCACTGACGATGCCATCATTCTGTTCTTTATTCCAAGGTAATTTCATAATGCATGTTACTTTTTTTTCCCATTTGGTGAAATTAAATCAGACTCCCTAAGTGGAATCAGTTCTGTAGAAGGTAAAACAGAGTCATCTGTTGAGGAAGAACAGCTGATTGAATCAGATGAACTCATAAAGGGTTATTACAGAGATGAAAAGGTAATGGAGTGCAGTAATAATTGATTATATTTACAGTAAAGTAATGTTAATAGCATGCCATATGTAATTTGTTTAAAGGAACTCACTTTTTACAGGCAGTGTATTGCACTATCAGCACAGTCCCATGTCTTTTCACTTGAGATCACCGTTGCTAACTAACTCTCAACACTTCCTCTTTAGATAGGATTTTAAGCAATAAGTATTTATTAAACTTAGAGGTTTTTAGTGTTTCTACAAATGTTTTTAAATGGTTTTTAATATTGTTTTTAATTTAGTATACAGTGGTGCCCCGCATAGCGACGTTAATCCGTTCCGGATTAATCGTCGCTATGAGGAAACATTGCTATACGGAACGGAAAAAGCCATAGGAATGCATTGAACTTTGTTTAATGTGTTCCTATGGCTCCTAAACTCACCGTTCAGCGAAGTTCCTCCATAGCGCCGCCATTTTCGCACCCTCGGTAAGCGAGGGCAGGGCGCGAAAACACTTGCAGCGGCCATTTTGGGCGTGCGGCGGCCATTTTGGAACCGCCGATCAGCTGCTGAAAAAAACATAGCAATGCGAAGATCGGTTTTGACCATTAAAACATCGCAATGCGATCGCTATACAGATTCGTCGTTAAACGGTGCGCTCATTAAGCGAGGCAGCACTGTATGTTTAATTGTTTTTATGTACAGTTTTAGCTTTTGTGACCTTTCCTTGTCCCTTGTGAGGAAAAAGGTGGCATATATTTTATATATCTGTATATACTGTGTAAACTGGAATTAGTCCCACTAAATTCAGTAGGGTTTACTTCTAAGTAGATATATGAGGTTGCCAGCATGGTGTAGTGAATAGAGTGATGTACTAGGACTCTGGAGAAGAGGGTTCAAATCTTCACTTGGCCATGGAACCTCACTAGGACAGTGAAACTGGTAAAACCACATCTTAAATATCTCACCTCAAAAATCCTATTAGAGTCACTATAAATTGGTTTCTGCTTGACAGCACAGAACACACACAGAGTGATACATGTAGAATTACACTGTTAAAAAAATCTGTTTTGAGTGAGTGGATTAATTAGGCAAATTAGTGATTGTTTAATTTGATCACCAATGTAAAATTTTTATGTCAATGCATATGTTGCATCTAAATCAAAATATAAGTACAAGAGCACTCGAAACTGTGATAAAAACATGTATATTTTATAGCTATAACTATTTAGGAACATGTTGAGTAAATAGGATGCCTGTTGAATCTCTTTTGTTGGATTTGAAAGCAGGCATTGATTGATAAACAGAACATCACACTTTAGGAAGTTGGACTAGAACTAGCCAACAGCCTCTTATGTTTGAGAAGACAGTTGTAAAATGGAAATGTGAGTTCTGGTTTTTATTTTAACCAAGTTATCTTCTTTTACAGTGTAAATTATCTAAGAAAATTGTTGCTGTGAAAGAAGAAAAAGCAAATATTCAGGCCACTGTAAAAATGTATGTATGGAAATAGTAATGTTTACATAGTCCTCACTAAGGGGGTGGTGGTATTTAAGCACAACGTTGTATTTTCAGTCATTTTACTATTGTTTGGTTTTGCCATCAAGACTTTAGAAGTTAAAAAGATAAGCTTGATGCTGTTTCTCAACTCCCACACACCTCTACTGGCTATTTATAAGAATTACTAGCCGGCAGGAAAGATTAGGTTTAGAAGGCTAAAATTACCCACCCCTCCCCTAGGCATGGGGCTGAACTGGTTTAGTGGTTACAAGTAAAACCAAAACAACAAGGCCAAAGTAAGCAACTTGTTACTTCTGTATGCCATGACTTCTTTAGGAGTGTTGCATTTAGGATTAGAAGTTCAAAGCTATCTTCTTGCAGTTGCAACATTTTTCTGTCATGAGCTTCCAAACCTGGCTACAATTGGCACCTTCCCTACAAGCTAAAGTGATGGAGGTGGGAACAAGGTGTAGCGATAAGCAGAAGACAGAGAGGCTTGGTAGTTGAGTATTACATGGTTACTTCCAGAACCAAGCTCTTTATAGCCACTCTTGTTCTTATTCATTCATTTCATTTCTATACTTCCCCATGAATGCAGTGCGCTATTCTGGCCAGTGAGCAATCTAAAAGTAGAACAAAAATAAATAGAACAGTAGATCAAACATATCTTGAGAAGAGTGCTCCTGTTACCTCAGTGAGTTAAAGTAAGAGAACTTGGCATAAGTTTCATCCCCTGGTCACGAATGGTGGCCTTTAATTTGCCAGATTTTATGTTGCAGAAATTTGGTAAGACCTGCATTCAAAATGCATGTTGTACTTCATTTCAGCAACTGTAATTTGTTTTTTATTGCCTGACTTGTTAATAAACTATTAACTGAAAAGCAGTAGGGACATCAAATCCTCTTAGCAGGCAAATGGTAAACATATCTCACTTGAGAAAAAAAATGACCTGCTCACTTAGAGTATCAGGTAGATAGTCATTGCTAAAAGGCTGTAGAACTCTCTTTCAGGGGAAGCTATTTATCTCCTCCCCCCATTGTTCATACACTAGCTGGCAAAGATCTTTCTCTTCAGGCAGGCAAAAGAGATATAAGTAGACTATTAAGGAACGAATAGTCTATTTAGCAAGCATTTTGGCAACTATGCCCTACAGTTTACTTAATTCTGATGTACAGTATGTTTCAATTGTTCTAAGCTAATACTTTTTAATGTGATTGCTGTCTCTGGGTGCTGACTTGCTGAAGTTGGTTATTTTCATGGCAGAGCTCCACCTATCTCTTTTTGCTGTTCTCTGTTAAGGCCCAATGCTTGGGGACCTATAGCACAGAATGATTTAATGGCTTGACAGTTCTGAGTGTAAAGGTGCTGCAGCTAAGCAATTTTCTATACATCTGTATATGATATGATTGATACAGCTAAAAATATTGATATTATACCATGTTTCCCTGAAAATAAGACAGGGTCTTATACTCATTTTTGCTCCAAAAAACTGATTAGGGCTTATTTGCAGGGGATGTATTAATTTTTTCATGTACAACAGTCTACATTTATTCAAATACAGTCATGCCATCTTCTGGTTGCTGCATAATGGTGGAGGGTGGGGTTTCACTTAACTGGGGCGTATTTGGGGGGGGTAAAGGTTTGTCCAATTGTATCCGACTCTAGGGGGATGTGCTCATCTCCGTTTCCAACTTATTAAGCTAGCATTTTGTCCAAAGACAATCTTCCGTGGTCACGTGGCCAGCGCGACTAGACACGGAACACTGTTACCTTCCCACTGTGGTGATGCCTATTTATCTACTCACATTTTGCATGCTTTCAAACCGCTAGGTTGGCGGGAGCTGGGACAAGCGACCTGGGCTCACTCTGATGCATGGATTTGATCTTACGACTGCAGGTCTTCTGACTTTGCAGCGCAGAGGCTCATGCGGTTTAACCCACAGCACCACCACGTCCCTTATTTTGGGGGTAGGGCTTATATCGGGGGTCTCAAATTTGCGGCCCACGGGCTGATTGCATCCCTCAGGATGGTAGTTTGTGGCCCCCACCTTAATATGAACATTTAAAGTTAGTGCAGCCCTCAAGTTTGATATGTATGGCACTTTACAGTGTTGTGTGCGGAGCTGAACAAACCTACCAATCATGGTGGAATACATGGCTCTTGGGACATCTGCCAGGCTTGTTGCAAGCAGAGATACATTTGTCAAGGAGTGAAAGTTACAGCAGCTTTGCCATGGGGTGTTTTCTTCTGTGCCTGTTTGGCTGCCTCGTTTCTGTTGGGCAAGCACGGACATTCGTCCCAGCGCGCTGCGTTCACAACACTTCAAAAAAAGTTTTTTTAAGTTGCTGCCCAGCTGGACTTTATAAGTATATATACGTATATAAATATGTACGCACACGCACGCACGCACGCACGCACGCACACACACACACACACACACAATCAGTGGCACTTAGAGAGTTAATATGAGGTCTCTCTCTCTCTCTCTGTCTCTCTCTCTCTGACAAAATTAATCAAAGTGATGAGCACGGCAGGATAAAAGAAATGTAAGGAACTCAATGCAGCCTCCCTGGTAACCCAGACCACTTATAGGGGCACACCGTTATTTGTGGGTAATCATTTTTATTTGCATTGCCTCACACAATGATCATTACATATATTTCTATCTGATGTAAAAGTCGTCAAAACAAATGACATCAACAATAGCACGGTGTCATTTCTGCTCCTTTTTCCTCTAACAACAGCACGGCAGATAACAGTCAGTAGTCAGTGAGCAGTTGCCTTTTTTGTGCTCGCTATCCCGTTACTTTCTACCATCTACAAATGCCATGGTGTTCATGTCATCATGAAAGACATGAACATTTATTTATTCATTTATTTCATTTATTTCATTTATTTATTTCATTTATATGCCACCCATCTAGACATAGTCTACATCAAGTGTAAAAAGAAAGGAGACTGCTACTGGGCTTTTATCCACCGACTACTGTGCTGCAGTTATAAGAAAAAGAAGCGTCAGCTAAACGCTTGATTGAAACTTCAATACGACAGTGACACCAAGTGGAATTATATACAGTGGTGCCCCAGATAGCGATGATAATCCGTTCTGGATTAATCATCACTAAACGGAACTAAAAAACCCATAGGAACGCATTAAACTTTGTTTAATGCGTTCCTATGGGGCCCAAACTCACCGCTATGCGGAGATCCTCCATTGCGCCGCCATTTTTGCCGCCTCGGTAAGCGAGGAATCGGCGCGAAAACACTTGCGGTGGCCATCTTGGAACTGCCGATCAGCTGTTCTAAAAACATTGCAATGCGAAGATCGGTAAGCGAAACACTTACCGATCATCGCAATGCAATGTTTTACCATTTAAAACATCGCAATGCGATCGCATTAGCAATCCCAAAAAATAGATCGTTATGCGAATTCGTCGTTAAATGGTGCGCTCGTTATTTGAGGCATCACTGTATATTACACAGCCCCAAACATGTCTTTTTCAAAGCCTGCAGTGAAGAGAAAGGTTGGTGATGAGTACAGACAATTTCAGGAAAAGTGGGAAATGCAATATTTCTTTGTTGAGCACAGGGGCACCCCGACGTGTCTTATTTGCACAGAAAAAGTTGTGGTGCACAAGGAATACAGTTTGAAATGTCTGCACAACTAGACACACTGAGGAGTATGCAAAATACCAGGGAGATGAGATAGCCAACCAGGTTGCCAATCTTAAAACAGGTCTACTGAGGCAACAAGATTTCTTCAAGAAAGCAACCAAAGAGAATAATGCAG